GGTTCAACTCCAGCTCCAATAGCAACAAAGACTGCTGCCAAAGTTACTGGGACCATAAATGATGTAAGATAGGGACGAGTGTTTGCCCTTATTCCTGGTGATATGCAAAATACAGAGGCTGTGGTATCAGGTACATTTTTTATCGATGGTCACTCCGTTCATGAATTATTTGATTCGGGATCTACCCATTCTTTTGTGTTGGAAACCTTTGCTAGTAATTTGAAAAGACCTAAGGAATCGTTGCCTTATGTGTTATGTGTTTCTTCACCATCGGGGGGCTCCATGTTATGTACGTGTGTTTATCCTGCATGTGAGATCTTGATTGGGGATGTTCAATTATATGTTGACTTGTTGCCTCTTGATATGGATTATTTTGATATAATATTGGGAATGGATTGGCTAAGGAAATATCATGTGACTATTGAGTGTATGTCTAAGCAAGTCATTTTTCGCCCTCCGGAACAATCTGAATTTATTTTTACGAGACATGGGGTAATTCTACCACCGTACTTGATCTCGGCTATGAAAGTATGTAAGCTGTTGCAAAAAGGGTTGTCAGGGGTATTTGTGTAGTATTTTGAATAGACAACCAATGAATGTATGTGTTGATAATATTCTAATTGTTCATGAATTCCCAGATGTTTTTTCAAAAGCGTTGCCAGGAGAGCTAGTGGACGTGAAATTGAATTTGTAATTGATCTAGTGCCAGGAACTCATCCAATGTCAAAAACTCCGTATAGAATGTCACTGGCTGAAATGAAGGAATTGAAGGCACAACTGCAAGACTTGCTAGACAAAGGGTTCATTCGCCCGAGTACCTCTCCTTGGGGGGCACCGATTCTTTTCGTAAAGAAGAAAGATGGGACGCTGCGGTTATATGTTGACTACATGGAGCTCAATAAAGTAACTATAAAGAATAAGTGTCCCTTGCCTAGAATCGATGATTTATTTGATCAACTACAAGGTGCGCAAGTCTTTTCAAAAATAGATTTGAGGTTCGGATATCATCAATTAAAGGTGAAAGATGAAGACATTGAAAAGATTGCCTTCCGAACCAGATACGGGCATTACGAGTTTTTGGTTATGCCATTCGGGGTTACTAATGCACCGACGGCCTTTTATGGATTTGATGAACCGTGTTTTTAAACCTTATTTGGATGACTTTGTGGTTATGTATATTGACGACATACTCATTTATTCGAAAAGTACGGAAGCTCATGAGAACAATTTACGAGTAATTCTTCAAACATTGAGAGAGAGAGAAAATTATATGCGAAATTGAAGAAGTGTGAATTTTGGTAGCATGAAGTGATATTCTTAGGGCATGCTATTAATATGGAGGGTGTCTCTATTGATCCACACAAGATAGAAGCCATAGTGAATTGGCCCACTCCGACGAATGTGACAGAAGTTCGTAGCTTCTTGGGTCTAGCAGGATACTATCAGAGGTTTGTTAGAGACTTTTCCAAGATAGCAGTGTCGCGTACCGAATTGACCCAAAAGGGTGTTCCATTTGAGTGGACTGAACAAAGAGAATCTGCTTTCCAAGAGTTGAAAACAAGGTTAACTGCAACACCAGTTCTTGCTTTACCAACCGGTACCGAGGGGTTTGTTATCTACAATGACGCTTCTTACAAGGGATTGGGCTGTGTACTCATATAGAATGGAAGGGTCATTGCCTACGTTTCTCGCCAACTCAAGCCTCATGAAAAGAATTATCCCACACACGACTTAGAGCTAGCTGCCGTGGTGTACGCTTTGAAGATATGACGGCATTATGTGTATGGTACCACATGTGAGGTTTATGTCAACCATAAGAGCTTAAAGTACTTCTTTACCCAAAAAGAGTTAAACATGAGACAAAGACGATGGTTAGAGCTTATTAAAGATTATGACCTGCAAATCCATTATCACCCCGGCAAAGCTAATATAGTTACAGATGCTTTTAGTAGAAAAGTTATAGGGAACTTGGCAAGCTTGCTCATAGGGCAAAAGAGTTGCTATTTGAACTGGAAAGAATGGATATGGAAATCGTGCTACATGGTCAAGATGCAATATTAGCAGCAATGTCAGCTCAACTGGCACTTATTGAAGAAATCAAACAAAAACAAATGGAAGATAGGTTCCTAAAGAAAATTTGTGATGAAATAGAAACAAAGCCAAGGCCCAAGTTCATTCTTGAAAGTTTAGTGTTGAAATTTAAAGACAGATTGTGTATTCTGAATGTTCTAGAAATTAAGAGAAGGATTATGAAGGAAGCACATAAGTCTAAGTTTTCACTGCATCCCGGCAATAATAAAATGTAACAAGACCTGAAGCAAAATTTTTGGTGGCCAAGTATGAATAAGGAAATTGCAGAATTTGTTTCAAAATGTTTGTAATGTCAGCAAGTAAAAGTGGAGCACCAACGACCGGCGGGTTTACTTCAACCCCTCCCAATCCCAGAGTGGAAATGGGAACATTTGACTATGGATTTTATTGTTGGCTTACCCCGAACACCTTGAGGTATGAATTCCATATGGGTTATTGTTGATAAATTAACTAAATCTGCCCATTTCTTGGCCGTGAAAACTCAATATAATGCGGATAAACTTGCTACTGTGTATATGAATGAAATTGTGTGGCTACGTGGTGATCCAGTTTCAATTGTATCCAGTAGAGATGCGAAATTTGTATCTAGGCTTTGGCAGAGTTTACTGGATGCTATGGGAACATAATTAAAATTTAGTACGGCATTCCACCCCCAAACTGATGGTCAATCAGAGAGAACAAAACAAACATTAGAGGATGTGCTTCAGATGTGTTTGCATACAACAATAGTTTCCACTCAAGCATAGGAATGGCACCAGATGAAGCTTTGTACGGAAAGAAATGTCGCTCTCCAGTGTGTTGGACTGAAGTTGGTGATAGATCATTGTTTGGACTTGAAATTATACAATTGATGACAGAGAAGATTAAAATCATTCAGAAAAGATTGAAAACCGCCCAAAGTAGGCAAAAGATTTATGCGAATCACCTACGAAGAGATTTGGAATTTGAGGTTGGTAATTATGTTTTCGTGAAAGTCACTCTGATGAAAGGGCACACTAGCTTTGGCAAGAAAGGGAAATTAGCACACCGGTACATTGGTCCATTTCAAATTCTGGAAAGACTTAGTGGGTCCAGTGGCTTATCGGGTTGCCCTTCCACCAAGTATGGACCAAATACATAATGTTTTTCATGTATCCATGTTACGGGGTTACCTCCAAGATCCGTCCCATATTATAGATTGCCATCAGATTGCTTTAGATGACAACTTGATCTATGAAGAGAAACCGACACAGATTTTGGATCGACAAGTGAAACAATTTCAGAACAAGGCAATACCAATGGTGAAAGTTGAATGGCATGAACACTACGGGAAAGAAGCAACTTAGGAAAGAGAAGAGGAAATGAAACAGCCACTACTACAAAAATAGTTAAAAATCACAATTTGACAAATGAAAATATCTCACTTTTATTGAAAGTGTGATAAAAAAAATTAGATTGATATTTTAATCACACTTGATTTCATTAAGTGTGATAATATTTATTTTTCATTGATAATATTTATTTTTATGTCACTTTTCAATTAAGTGTGATTATATATATATATATATATATGTATATATATTTTAATCACACCTTCTAATTAACATGTGATTAAAGATTATATAAGAAGGATTAAAAATATCTCACTTTTATTAGAAGTGTGATTAAAAAAAACTAAAATGATTTTTAATCACATTTAATTTAATGAGTGAGATAATATTTTTTTTAATCACACGTTTTAAATAAGTGTGATTATATATTTTTATTTTACTTCTCTCACATACACACAATCAATTCCCAAATTAAACCCTAACACGCCCACCCCTCATCTTATCGTATTCAACATTTGTCTCACATGCATCTCTTGCTTCTCCACTACGCTGCACTCATCTCTTGCTCTGTCACTACGTTGATCACCATCGCCGTCACCTCTAGTAGCCTTGCCGGTCGCCACCATCGTTAGTAGCCTTGCCGATCACCGTTGCATCTTCTCTGCTCGCTGATGTTTTGATAACAACTCTGTGAGTTCTGTTTTGTTTGTTTGTTTGTTTGTTTGTTTGTTTTAGTTTGCTTGTTTTTTCAGATATTGGTAGATTTTCCCTTTCTCTTTCTCATTTTGGTAGATTTTGCTTCTTATTTGCATTCCTATTTAATTCTATTTACTTTATGTGAGCCTTTTGATAATGGTTGGCCCCTGGTTTCACTTTCTCTTATTCTCTGTTTAGGGAATAAATTCTTCTTTTATTGTAAAGTAAAATTTTGAGTATGCTGGAGATGTCTAACACAAGTATTTGGCTCATTTGAGTCGAGTTTTTCCTACTATCAAAGCAGATCTACCAAAATGAAAAAATTACCTATTTCAATATGCCTAGAAAATTACTCATTTACAGTCTCTGTTTAGGGAAAAAATGCCCAGAAAATTACCCATTTCAGTGTGCTATCATTATGTCAAATTTAGCATGATGCTATCCATATCATTGTATTTTTAATATAAATTCAATAACTTAATTTAATTTTTTTTATAAAGATAACTGTTATATTAAATATTTAGAATTTGAAAGAATTCTATCGGCAAATACCTATTATTAAATTTTATTTAATGCAAGTATGAATAAAGCTAAATGAATTGAAGTTCTAGATATATGCAATCCCAGCCACCATTCTCAAGGTTCCTCTTTCAATGTCATTGGATACAATCCTAAGGCTGGAAGGTTAGGTTCACTTGACAAGGCTTACATTTTGTTCTTCCTTGTATATTATATATATATATATATATTATTTTCCTTCAAATATGTCTTTGATTTGAACAAGTTGTCACCATTTGTACCAATATTTGTATCAACTACTCAGCAATTTAACTCAGTTTTTTCATAGATTAGTTATCCAGCAACTGCAATCTTCACTAGTACTTTCAAATAAACACCCATTGTATTTTTAATATAAATTCAATAACTTAATTTAATTTTTTTTTATAAAGATAACTGTTATATTAAATATTTAGAATTTGAAAGAATTCCATCGGCAAATACCTATTATTAAATTTTATTTAATGCAAGTATGAATAAAGCTAAATGAATTGAAGTTCTAGATATATGCAATCCCAGCCACCAATCTCAAGGTTCCTCTTTCAATGTCATTGGATACAATCCTAAGGCTGGAAGGTTAGTTTCACTTGACAAGGCTTACATTTTGTTCTTCCTTGTATATTATATATATATATATATATTATTTTCCTTCAAATATGTCTTTGATTTGAACAAGTTGTCACCATTTGTACCAATATTTGTATCAACTACTCAGCAATTTAACTCAGTTTTTTCATAGATTAGTTATCCAGCAACTGCAATCTTCACTAGTACTTTCAAATAAACACCCATACCCAACACAAACTGTTAGATCACCAGTAGTGCCAAAAACATAAGTTGATAAGAAATGGGCCCAACATTGTATATCAAGCTATCCAATATAAACATCTTAATGTTGTATTAATCTCTATCATTGCCTTGTATCTTAGGTTCTTTCACCAGTTCCTTCTATTTTTTGAGGTACACTTAGTAGCAACATCCATGTTTCGTTTCTTAGCATCTATCTTCTACATTGTGGTTGCTTCTAACACAACTGGGAGTATGTTGATATTGTTTGTCTTTTTATTTAGTGGCTTCCTTATCCTAAAATGTAAGGCTTCGGTAACACTTTTCCAATTTATTTTTTTATAGTTGTTTGGGAAGATGAACTTAAACCGAATTGGTTAAGGTGGGGATTTTGGCTTTCCCCGATGACATATGGTGAGATAGGCCTTGCTTTAAATGAATTTCTTGCTCCAAGATGGCAAAAGGTGAGTATCTAAAAGCCAGAGTTGTTGCTTTCTCTAACTAACACAATATTCAAGTTGCTTTTTGTGGCACTGTACAAATTCTATGAGTTTCATGCTGATACAGCAGCTCACTAGCAAGGGCTAGATGAGGACCACTTCTAAAACAATAATGTTAGAACACTAATTATATAGGATATCATTCTTTATATCAGTTACCATTAGCAACAAAATCTCTCAGTTTATTGGTTAGACAACACGAATCCCATCCAGTTGATCATCCTCACAAGAACCACATTTCTTTAGCATGAACTCCACCTATTTTGACCAATGCTCTAATGCTTGGAATTTTTACCATGAACTTATCATTTTTCCAATACCTCATTGCTCATTTTTTATTTGCCCAAGGATAACCTCTGTACTTTGTACCTTCTCTTCCAGATATCATGGGATGTTCAGAATTCTAATTAAGTTGTCTAGTATTTTTTCCATAAAATTGTATTCATTTGGGCGCTGCACATCTTATTGATATGTCAATCCTTGTTGGCAATATGCTGCTTACTGTTTATTTTAGTTGGAGTTACGTGTCTCTTTCTGTCATTTTTCTTTCTTTTCCAGATAATATGATATTTTACCCTTTTATGGTAATCATAATTTGTAGATTAGATGCTTGTGATGATCTTTTAAGCTGTGTTTAGATCATGAATTTTGACAATGATTTAAAGAAAGAAAGGGAAATGGAGAAAAAATCTAAAAATATTTCATTGACATTTCACCCACATTTTCCCTTTTCCTTTCCAAATCCCTACCAAGATCCATGATCCAAACACAGCCTTAAAGTTTAATATATGAGTCGGTGCACAGACTTCTGGATCTATGATATTTAACAAACGTTTTGGGACTGATTGTTATTTGGCCAATAATGTTACTTACAGTTTATTTAGTAATCAAGTAAAATAGATGGCCATAATCTGCTTATTCATTCTATGCTCTTCATTATTTTGTCTAGGCATTGACAGCAAATACTACCATAGGGCAAGAAACACTTGAAAGCCGTGGATTGCGCTTTCACGAATACTTATTTTGGATATCACTTGGTGCTTTACTTGGGTTTATAATAATTTTCAACATTGGATTTACCTTGGCCTTGACGTTCTTAAACCGTAAGTTTATCTTTTGATTATATAAAGTCAACATAAGAATTGCAGAGTGACATATGCTTATTTCATTTCATAATGAATTCAGCTCTTGGTTCTCGTGCTATTATTTCAAATGAAAAGCTTTCCCAAATTTAAGGATCTGAAGATTCCTTCAGTGTTGCTAATGCAGAAGCAAAATCTACAAATTCTCCTAACTATACTACAAAATCTCATAAAAGGTCGTGTATTTTTAGATTTTTCTTCATTCTCTTATAATTATTGAAACCATTGCTTCACATGATTCTTTTCCTTTATTTATCGTCTTATAAGTTTATCCCTGTTTCATTTAATTAGGGTGGGTAATATTATTTTACAAGTCGAGTGGTTTTACCTTTTGAACCCCAACTCTGGTGTTTCAAAATGTGCAATACTATGTTGACATCCCTGCGGTAATCATATAAACAAATCTCTTATAAATATTATGTACCTGTTAAATATTTAGAACTAATTGGATCAAATTACATTGGTTAATTGTGCCATTTTTCTTTGATTTCTGGCAATGAGAGAAAGGGGGTTCACTCAGAAAAAACTCCAACTTCTTTGTGATATTACATGTGCATTTAGGCCTGGTGTTCTTACAGCATTGATGGGTGTCAGTGGAGCTGGGAAAACAACTCTTATAAATGTTCTTGCACGAAGAAAAGCTAGTGGCACTATTGAAGGAGATATTAGAATTTGAGGGTTTCCCAAGGTTCAGGAGACGTTTGCTACGATTTTGGGTTACTGTGAACAAACCGACATACATTCTCCACAAATTACAAAAGAAGAATCAGTGGTTTCTTCTACTTGGCTGCGTTTGCATCCTGAAATTGATTCAAAAACTAAATTTGTATGACCTATATATAAGGAAGTTAAATTTACTCTTTAATCTACAACAATAGTTTAAACATTATTTTACTTTTGTTGCTACTGCACATCTTTACAGGAATTTGTGAAAGAAGTCCTTGAGATCATTGAGCTTGATGAAATCAAAGATTGCTTGGTTGGCATGCTTGGTGTTACTAAGCAGAGATAGTGGCTTACGATATCTGTGGAGCTTCTATTATTTTCATGGATGAACCTACAACTAGATTGGATGCAAGAGCAGCTGCAATTGTTATGCGAGCAGTGAAGAATGTGGCTGAAACAACAAGAATTTTGGTCTTGAGTATGACCTGGATCTCTTCAATATTGTTGCTGTTCTAGATTTTAACATGTAAGTCTCAACATATTCAATGCTTCTCATGTATATCATTTTCCTTAATATTTGATGTGCTTTGTGATTTTCCCCTTTTAAATGACTAATTATTTCATGCATTTGTTTCAGGCTAGCCATGGAAAGTAAGAGCTTGAATGAATGCTTCGTGAAATTTTTTTTGACTCTTTATTTCCATCTATCGTGCATTTCATTTGATTGGAGTTTGTCTGACTTGGTTATTGATACAGATTCCATTCTAAGCTTGTTTTGGCATCTCTAGAAACTGCTACAGATGCAAATTATGCTGCAATTTTAGGAGTTATTGGCCATGAGGTTTGTCATTTATCTTATAAGAAATAAGAAACTTAGATATTTGTTTTTAATTTGTATTAATTTGGGTCTTATTTCTGGTGTATATTGTAGTATTTTCTTGTGTATATTGTAGAACTCCAAAAGCACACTGATGAGGCTGCTGCCAAAGTTAATGTTGTACTAGCGAGAACTGAAGAACAAGGGCAGATGATCGAATCACTTCACACCTCTGTAAGCATTCCTTAAGACTTAGACTTGCACACAAGCACTGCTTGGGCTTATATCATTTCTAATACCATGTGATATATGTATATATATATATATATATAATATTGAAACAATAGTTGGCTTTTATTTCGGTTTTATGACTTTAAAATATCTGGCCATGCACTAAAGATTTTCATTTTGGATTTGTTGATTCTATGCCTATGTCATATCTATATGGTAATCCAAACATTTATACTAGTAACAATCAAATAGTTATTCCTTTTCTATTGATGCAGGAGATGAAGAGTCAGTGTGATGAGAAAAAGTCCGACTTTATCTTTTGTAAGGCTAGAACAATCTTTACAAATAGTTAGTTTGCTCATTTGCTTCTAGCGGTTTTTGAATTAATTTGTGTTTTCATTTTTCAGGTCAGAAATTTCTTGGAGAGATGTAAAATATGGTCAAAGAATTCAAGAACTTAGTTTTTCAAGTTTTTTTCATTTTTTAATATATGTAAGTACAGTTTAAAACTTTTTATTTAATTCCTTTGTGTGTACTTTTGAACATATTTAACTTTCATTTATGAAATATATGACGTTATTCCATTCAATATGTGGTTGCGATTCAAAGTATAGTATATAGTGTGTATTAAATTCTTCAAATGTGCGTACAAAAATAATATTGATTATTTTTCAAATATGTCGAATTCTTTTTTTATCACACGCATTAACTGTGATGAGAAATGCATATAACGTATGATCTTATCTCATTATTAATCACATATTTTATTAGATATTAATCACACTTAAAATCTGTGATCTAAATGTTTATTATCACATGTTTTATTAGTTATTAATCACACTTAAAAGATGTGATCTAAATGTTTATTATTACATGTTTTATTAGTTATTAATCACACTTAAAAGATGTGATCTAAATATTTATTATCACAGTTTTTATTAGTTATTAATCACACTTAAAAAATGTAATCTAAATGTTATTAATCACACTTAAAACGTGTGATTAAAAATGACCATTTTTTATCACACTCCCAAAGATCACACTTTGACAAAACTTAAAAAGTGTGATTAAATAATATAGATCACACAAAAAAAGTGTGATCTTTATCTGTTTTTGTAGTAGTAAGCGGTATTTAAAATTGTTTGCACCTTGAGGTTAACTAAGTTTCAGGGACTAAACTTTTTTAAGGGGGAAAGATTGTAATAACCCGACCCTCTCATATGCTTAAACTTCTTCATTATATGTGTGTTTATGTGTTTGATGTGAAATTCCATGTTCGAATGTGTTAATTCCATGTTTATAAATTTGTATCTGTCGGTTATGAGAAAATTTGTTGAAATAGTGACTTTCCAGCTAGAAATTGAAGGCCTTAGAGGTGAGATAAATCGAAATCGACTTTTCAGTTATGATTAGCATGATTTTTAGGATATAATATAAAGTTTTGTAAAAATTTGATTCGTAATGAATTAATTTGATTTATTTAAGCTAAACTTGTAATTACCCTTATTTTGCCTCAACAAGCTAAGTGATATAGGATATGTGCTTGAGCCTTGTGAAAAGAACTAAAACTTAGCCTCAGGATATTTTGTTGGAGAGCTTCCAGAGAGGAAAAGAGAGGAAGATGAGAGAATTCAATCTAGGAGATTAGAACTTGGGAATTGAAGAGGAAACCAAGGATCTAGCTCAAGGTAAGTGATAATCAACTCAACTACTTAGAATGTCTTTTTAATTGATGAGAATCAAGACCTAAGATGAAATTAGGGTTTATGAGTTATGGCTTATTTGAATGTATTCCATGAAATTGAGCATGTACTCTTTGGAGTTGGTTGGATTCTTGTTGTTTGGGTTGTCTTGAGTTAGATTGTGAGCCATTGTCTTGTTATCTTTAGTTTTTGGCATACTTTGGACTCATGTATATATGTTTGTATATGTATATATACCTATATCATGAAAATTTGAAGAGCATGAAGGCAATATGGAAATTAGAGTTGTATATGCCAAATTAAAATAAGTTGTGGTCTACTTGAGTTTAGGTTTCATGTTTATTATGCTCATGCATCATGTTTTTGAAGTGAAATTGCTTGGATTGAGCCTTGGAAGTGCCTATGGAAAGCTTGAGAAATTGATGAATTTTCAGAATGAAAATTTCAACCCAGACCACTAGTGCGGCGGGGTCCACCTCATAAGCGGCCAACCCTGTTTTGGACAATTTCGATTCTGAAGTTTGCTCGCTCGTGTGGCCAAGGCCATCGTACGAACAGCTAGGCCACTGCACGTGTGGCCAAGACCACCGCACGAGCAGGGCTGATTTTTTCGGTTTTGTTTTCTTTCCTTCTTCTGACTTCCGGGCCTCCAATTATATGGTTTCCAACTATTCTCATGTGCATATGTATTGTACAACCACAAGAGAAAGTGAAAGAACGAATAGAACTGATTAAAATTCATTAAAGAAGCTCAGAAAAGAACTAAGTATTTATTAAGTTGTGTGTGTGCCATGTGTAGGTTACTCGCTGGAAGGGACCATTATGTGACCGAATCACTGTGAGTAATAGTAATGTAACATTATGTTGAAAGTTACAAATTTTATATTTTTGTTCATGAATGATATGGTTTATAAAACTTGTATTTTGGTTCATCTGGTTGAACACTTGACCGCAATGACATGTGAAATGGGCCCGAGGCCGTTTTGTTATTATTGGGCCTGAGGTCGTTCTATTATTATTGGGTCCGAGGCCGTTCTGTTAGTATTGGGCCTGAGGTCGTTTTGTTATTATTGAGCCCGAGGCCGTTCTGTTATTATTGAGCCCGAGGCCATTCTGTTATTATTGGGCCTAAGGCCATTCCAGAATGTGTTGATGAAAAGGACATACATGTAATACGTGCATATTCTTTAAGACACATGCTTATTTACATACCTTCATATGTTATTATTATTCACTGAGCCTGGCTCATTCCGTATTCATGTATGTTTTGTAGGTGGTCAGCTTGGAGGCCAGCCCTCGGTTAGCTTCAGGAGCCTTTTGTGGACATTTTTGTTAAGTCCTACGTTGGATTCTTTTGTCTCTTAAGGAGTTCAATGCCACATTTTTGTTAAGTTCTTGGTGGCATTTGTTACATATTTAGTGATTATGTAACTTTTGAGGTTCTTAACTCCTTGTACATACACATGCTTGGATTGTATTTTTTTTTTTGAATGGTACATGTGAACTTCTCCGTTTACGAGATATGTAATGATCCTGGTATATAGACACTGCTCAAGCGACGTTCTATTATTTAATTGCTTCCGCTTTAGGCCCCATTATTGAATAAATTATGTTATTTGATGTTGTTTTGAGGCCATTGCACGGGCCGGTCATGACCTAAACTTTTGAGGATAGGTCTGGGTCGTGGCAACTCTACTATATAATAATAAAATTATTTGAATTATTAATTAAAATATATTTATAACATCATTAAAAATAATTAATTGGTTGATAATTATTAATAAAAGGGTTCATTTCTTGTTGACAAAAGAAATTTTTTTTAAATTACTATTCTGTAATCAAATAGTAAATTGAAACAGCCTAAATTACAATCAGTGTGTTTGGTTTGAGTTTTTTAAATTAAGGCCTTGTTTGGTTTGTGTTTCAAAATCAATTTTTGAGAGAAAAAAGTACAAAAACGTGTTTGGCAAAAATATTTTTGAAATATTCTCTGAAGACTCATCTTAGAGAAAAAAAGATGGTTCCCAACACAAGTTATAGGCATCTTTTGTCATTCACTTCTCTCTCTCAAAAGAACCTTTCTGACCTCCATCTCTCTAATATAAAAAATCCTTCAGAGGCAGTCCAACGGCTCTCTCTCGGTTGTGTCAAGGAAGACGATTCACACCTGTAGGCCAAGATCTGTACTTGTCCAAGTGCTTTCGAAGAAACCCACTTGTCTTACCTCCATCAGTACGCTGTTGAAGATTTGAGAAATCTTGCGCCATAGATACACTGATGCTATTTCTTACCTCCTTCATCTCTGTGTCGCACAGGCTTAAGGCAATAGGGGGCATCTACTCATACGGGTCCTCTTTGAACAGCCACAACTTATCTTCGTCACAGATTTCTCCAAATCTTGCCCTAGCTTTTGTCTCAGTCAAACTGAGTTAAATCTTTACACAATCTGGACTTGTAACATCAATGTCCATCATTTTTTTGTCGTGGGCTCTATAAAATGCAAACCAACCAGCTTCAAACCCCACCAAGACGAAGCATAACTTCATCATTCGCTGCAAAAACGGAGAGGCTGTGCTCAGGTCTTCGTTATGGACGACGGGATTTGAAGGCCACCAAAAGCAGGCAAGCAAGAGGTACAATTTGTGTTGAACGAATAATTTTTTTTTTTTTTGAAATTTCATTTTGTACATGAGTTTTGAACAATCTGTTGACTGATTTTGGTTTACAAAGTTCCCATGGCTTATCTTTTCGTCACTGCCTTTGGGTTTGTTAGATTGTGGTGAAATTTCCCAATCGGTAAATTTTTAGAAATTTTTAGTAGCACTGTCTAGTTTTTTTTCTCAAGCTGAGCATTGTTGGATTGTTTCTCAATGGCAAATAATTTTATCAGTTATGTTAATTCAGTTGGTGCTAAAAACTTCGTTTGAAGTTGCAGTACTTGTGGTGGTGAAGTGGTCGAAATATATTTGAAACTATGTCCAACTGATTGTTATTTGAAGTATAATGCAACTTTTTATGTGGTTACTTGTTTCATTGAATGGCTGTTGTTATGAGGTAATATCCAACTTGTTGTAGCTATTAAATAATGATGACAGAATTTTGTTTGAACAAATTTGGGTGTGTTGCAATTAAACAAATTTGTTAATTTGAAGGCCTTGAATTTTTTTTTTGGGTACATAACTTTGAATATTTGGATTGGATAGAAGTTTGAAATGATTGTCTATTTCTAAAACCATCATCATTCTCTACATTCATTGAAACATAATTCATCTTGTCTATGTTGAAACTATCTGATTGGAATAGTTGATATTAGCAAAAGTTTGAATTTGTTTTTCTTATATGTGCCTCTAGGAGGAGTACCTTGAAATACTTGCTAAGCTGAAGGTAAAAATCTTTATGGTCAATTGCTTCTTCAAGCCCACATGATTTTAAAAGTCCTTTTTTTTTATTTTTTTAAATAATGATCATGGAAATCCCTTTTTGATAAAATAAGAAATCCATATGCGTAACATAACTATACATGATAAGGGTAGTCAAAAGGGGTAAAGGAAGTATTATTAAATATTAACTAATTTAACTTTCACATTTTTGCATTTACTTACTTCTTTGAAAGGTTGTCATTTACTTGTCTGACACCATACTTCACAAATTTTACTGAGTTGTTTGTCATAATGTTGATCTAAACTTTATTCAATATAAGAAGCTAATTTTGCATGCATATTTCTGCAACTAATACCTTCTTTTCTACAAAACAGAACCACATAT